ACTTGCTTTGCCTGTGGTTGGCTCAGATTCAGTTCCTGACACTGAATATGGTCCACTAAGCCCTACCAGGAATGATCCCTGAGCACAGAGCCAGAAAGAATTCCTGAGCACAGTCAGCTATTGCAACCCCCCCCACTTTAATAAAAATCAAATCAAGCCATAAATATTTTTATTGAATCATCGTGAGCTATAGGTACAAAGCTTTCATGTTTGAGTTTCAGTCATACAATGCTCAAACACCCATTCCCTCCTCAGTGTACATTCTCCATCACCAATGTCCCCAGTATCGACCCCCCCATTCCCACCCCTCTCCTTGCCTCTACTTTTTTTCTCTCTCTGTTTCTCTCCTCCCACTTTGGGGAACTGTGGTTTGCAATAAGATACTGATAGGTGAGATACTGACAGATTATTGTGTATATCCCTTTACCTACTATTAACACTCAGTTCTTGTCCAGAGTGATTATTGCCAACCATTGACCAGTCCCATTTCCCTCTTACTCTCTACTTATGGAAAGCCAGAAATATTATATGACTTTCAGTCATAAATGATATCATATGTGATATCATTTGCCTATAACTGGATGGACATGGAGAGTATCACGCTGAGTAAAATGAGTCGGAGGGAGAGGGACAGATATAGAACGGCTGCATTCACTTGTGGTGTATAAAAAACATACAGTAGAAGACTAATATCCATGGCCAGGGAAAACAGAGACTAGGAGGTCTGGTCAATGGTTAGAATCAATCACTAGTGTGTTTGGGGTAGAGAGTAGGTAAGATAGAGAAGGGACCAGTATGACAATACTAGTTGGAAATGATCACACTGGACAAGAACTGAGTATTAAAAGTAGGTGAAGGGATATACACAATAACCTATCAGTATAGTATCTATCAGTATCTCATTGCAAACCACAATGCCCCAATAGGGCGGGGGGATAAAGAGAGAGAGTCTGTCATAGAGGCAGTCTGGGGGCTGGGGGTGATGAGAGGGAACCTGGGGACACTGGTGCTGGGTGTCATTGGTGAAGGAATGGGTGTTGGAACACTGTAGGACTGAAACTTAATCATGAACAGCTTTGTAAGGGTCTATGTCACAGTGATTCAATGAAAAAATAAAAAGGCAAAAGTAAACTTTATTAAAAAGAAAGAAAAATAGAGGTAAAGGCAGTGACTAGAATCAGCAGAAAGGGCTTAGCATCATAAGTCTCTCTAAAAACATATTCTGTGAAAATAAAGGCAAAGAAATGACATGTTCAGCCCTCATCCCCACCACCCCAAAAGGGCTGGTTTCATGGGTTCAAGGAAAAGAGGAGAAAGGAGGAACAACTAAAACTCATCCACCAGGGGCGGGGGAGCAGTGTCACAGCTACAGGAGTGCACAATTCAGTGAGCACTGTAACCTGATATGGGACTCCCAGCAATGACATCAAGGGCCACAGTCTTGTGTGTGTGTGTGTGTGTGTGTGTGTGTGTGTGGTGTATGCATTATTTAATACATAGACTGTGCTGCTTCAGGTGCTCCAGGTTTAATCCTAGGCACTGAGCACCACTAGGCAAAGCCCCAAAACAAAATGAGTTGAAAGTAAACAAGAGGCTTGGTATTTCAGGCGCGCTTTCAGCAGCCTCAGCCGACTGCTCACCTGGTCCTGAGGGCCACGGGTACTGAGGGCGAACGTCACTGCTGAGGGCACAGTACAAACTAACCTCAGAAACCGGGGGGCAGCGGCATCTAGGCCATCGGTGATCTCAAGGGATGAGAAACTCTCTGCCCTACTTCTTTCTAATCATCTTAATCTTGCATTTCTGCATGAAGAGGGCCAGTCAGCAGGCATCACCAAGGTGGCACAGTGAGCACCATGTGAAGACTAAGCCTTTATCAGTAAATTGAAAGTAAATTTGAGGTCTACTGGAATATTGAAAAAGGACAGCGATGCAAAAGATAAAATGGGAAATACCACAGATGATTGCATTTTTAAAAAGAGAAGTCAGAGTAAATGGAGCAGAAACCATTGCGAAAGGTAGGGAGGAAGGGCCCAGAGGAACAGCTGAGTGGCAGAATGCCTGCCTGCCTGGTAAGCATCTGGTTGTGAGTTCAATTCCTTGAGTCCCCAAATATGCCATGCACGATCCTGTCATATCTGCTGTTTGAGCCTGGCAGTCCTGCTGTGTGATCCACGGTGCCAAAAGCAATTTCCAACTGCATAGTTGAAAAGATGTGTGACTTTAGCTAGAAGTGCAACTCCTGGCAAGTTCGTGTTGAGCACTGCATGACAAGCACTGCATGACAAGCACTGCAACCTGCAGTGTGAGCCTTGGTTAGCATGTGTGCATGCACCACAACTAGAGGAGTGCAAAATTCAGTGAGTACTGAAACCTGATGTACAACGCCCAGCAATGACATCAAGGACCACAGCCCCATGTTTGTGTGTGTGTGTTTGTGTGTGTGTGTGTGTTTGTGTGTGTGTGTGTGCGTGATCCTGGCTTATAAGAATTCCACCCAGATAGAAGGAACAAAATGTTCAATAGAATAGAAGCAAAATGGTGATGATTGTCTTAAACTGCAACAATTTCACTGTGGCAAGTGCCTTGATTAATTAGGACGAGTGAGGTTAGGGAGCGAGGTAGCAGATAAGGGAAGGTCTCACATACTATGCTGAGGATTTTTCTGTGCCACACAGAAGCCAAATTATGTATGAAGAGGAAAGTGATACTTGATATTTAAAGAGAGTGGCATGCTTTTGTCACAGCAATTACAGGAAATGAGAGAGATCACATCCAGAGATTCTTAAGAACACCAAGACCTCCACTGTCGGGCTGTCCACAAATTCCCAGCAGCATCGTAAGAGTTGTGTGTGACTTTTCCCTTCCGTGCAGTGCTTGGAAACACAGATGCGGGCATGGGAGAGCTGGTACTTGACAGAGGCACTTAGGGGGCCATCCCCCCCAATCCCAGTATTTCTCTCATATCCCCCCCCTCCACCCCATCCCAGTATTTCTCTTTTTCCAACTGTCAGGACCTTATTGTGAAGAGGGATGGAGAGTGCTGTAATTCAGAGTCCCTTTGTTATGCAAGTTTCTTGTTCTCTGTGGAAGCTTTTCGGGTTTGTCATTGCATTTTTTGATACTATGCCTCAGTGGGAGTCTTTTTTTTTGCAGTCGCTTGGATCTTTCCATTTGGAAACAATAGTCCATTAGTTAATTTTATTGTTGTCTTGGGGCCACACCTGGCTTTCTCAGAGCTTAGTCCTGGACTTTGTAGTCAGGATTGCTCCTAGCAGAACTCAGGCCTGGGATCATGGCCCTGGGCCAACTGCATGCAAGGAGAACGCCCTGCCGGCCTGCTGCACTTTCTCTCGAGCTCCGGGCGGTCTACTCAATGGCAGTTTTCTCCTATTATTGAGACTTCAGTCTTGGGCTTTCTTTCTTTTTTTTTTTTTTTGGTCACACCCTGCGATGCACAGGGGTTACTCCTGGCTCTGCACTCAGTAGTTACTCCTGGTGGTGCTCAGGGGACCATATGGGATCCTGGGAATCGAACCTGGGTCGGCCGCATGCAAGGCAAATGCCCTACCTGCTGTAATATCTCTCCAGCCCCTCTTTGTTTTAGTTTTTATGGACTCCATAAGTTTGATATTGGATCTCTGGGAATACTCCACTGTATTTCCTACTTTTTCTTTTCTATTTTCCACCTCTTTCTCTTTTATTATCCCTGCTGGGAGATTTCCTTGACTTCAACTCTTCAGTTTTTTTAATCTATTAATTTTTTAAAATTTCTAAGATATTCTAATAGGGATTACACCTAATTGGTGCTTAGTGGTCAAGCATTGCCTGGGACCCAACTCGGGGTCTCACATACTCCAGGCAACTAGTCAACCACTTGAGTGCTCTCTCTCTCTCTCTTCTCCGTGATCTCTGAAGTACAGCTAGATTGGGATTACGGGGGAGACAAGGATGCAAGGATAAGGGTTGAGTGCGAACAGGGGCTGGGTGTGCATGCATCCAAGCGAGGGTCCAGCCTGGACTTCCGGGGGTAGTCGGGAGCAGCATCCCTCAGTGGGATCTGTGAACCTCCTATCTTGGAGATTCTGAAGCATCAAATGGTGAAGTGTCCCTAAGTTATAGGCTGTGCGTCTGGGAATGAGCGGCTAAAATAGGATGCAGGTAATGTCAGCTCTTTTTTTAAGGAAGCATCTCAATCATGCATCGGGAGAGAGGCCCAGCAAAGCCAGACAGCTGGATGTGGACAGTGACGAAGGGCAAGTGGCACCACCTGATAGCCTGGGTCCTCTAGGGAAATGTCGCAAAGGAACCCAAAGAATAACCACGTGTCGAGGGCTCTACGGCAAGCGCCGGCCCTCCCCCACCTTTGGCTCCGCTGGTTGATGGTAGGGAGAAACACCAGCGGAGTCAACACCAACGAGTCGCTCTTTTGAACTGGAGCGTGGCGAGAGGTCAGTCCCGTTAACTCATATCCGACAAGTGCCGAGAGGTGGTGAGGGTTTGCCGAGGGAGGCTGGATCTGAGAACGCGGGGCAGGGTTAGAGATGCTACGGCAGGGATGGAGGCGCCGGGCAGGTGACGGCGGCGGCTCCGATGGGGGGGTGGGGGCGGGCTTGACCACCAGTACCGGGGCTGGGAGGTCGCAGGAACCCCCGAAGCGTCGCCGGTGCCCCGCCCCCCTCGTGCGCGCGAGGCCGTCCCGCCAGAAGCCGTGCGGGCTCTGGATGGCGGGGCCAACCCCGACCCTACCCCGCTTTGTTTCACCCCCCCCCCCCCACCCCGCCCCCGGGCGCCGCCTCGGCCGGGCGAGCTCGGGGTGCCGCGTGCGAGCCGGCCGGGGTGGGCGGGAGCCGGCCGGCCGGCGGCGCACGCGCCCTGGCCCCGTAGCCCGAGGTGGGACCCGACTGCAGAGGGCGCGCGGGGCGGGGCGTGGCGCGGCGAGGCGCGGGCCGGGGGGCGGGGCGGCGGGGGCGGGGGCGGGGCGTGGCGGCTCCGGAAGGAAGTGGTTCCGGGTCCCGCGGCTCGGGCGCAGAGAGCCCTGAGCGGCTGCCCTGGCAGGCGGCCGCCGACACCGGGCGAAGCCTGAGGCGCCGCGGAGGAGGCGGCGTCGTGCGTGCCGGGTGAGCGGCCCAGGGGGCGGGCGGCGAGCGCGGCCGGGGCCGGCGGGGAGGGCGTGCCCGGCACCCTGGGAAGGGGCGGGGGGCCGCGGCCGGCGTTCGGCGAGCGAGTTGCAGTGCGGCGGGTTCCCGCCGGGACTGCCCGCGGCCGGTGGCTGAGGCGACCTGGCGTGGCGTTGCCTCCGCGCGCCGCACCCCGGGCACCTGCTGTCGCGGCCCCGACGCCCCGATGCGGTGAACGTCGTCGGGTAACTGCGGCGGTGGCGCTCCGGAGAGTCGGTCCTGGGGGAGGGGGGCGGGGAACGAGGTGGGGGGGGCGGTGTCTGGAGACCGAACCCTTCTCCCGAAAAAAACCGTGTGGCGGGCGGGACCCGAGCCCGAGAGAGAGCCCCCCGCCACCCCTCGCCTCTCCCGCGCTCCCCCCCGCCTCACCCCGCTTTGTCCTCCCGCGGAGCCCCTGCCGCGCCGCGGCTCTTGCCCACCGCGAACATCCCGAACGCGTCGCGCAACCGACTCCTCAGCCCGCAGTGCAAAGTAAAACTTGGCGTTTTTCGAGCGGTGCGTGGAACGGCCGCGCATCTTGGCGTTTCGCGGCGGCGACTTGGCTAGTCCGGGGTCAGGGTTGTGTCGGTCGGTCGGGAGAGGAAGAAATTGGAGCGAAACTTAGACCCCCGCCCCCGCCCCCCTTCGCCGCCCCTCTCCCCCGCCCCATTTTTTTTTCTTGGCCAAATATTTTCCTGCGTAGGTGCTTTTCGGAACCTCCTCCGAGCTGATTGCTTTTCTTCCTTGGAACCAAGTCAAGAGTACAGGTAGAAATCAAAAAGGATCCGTTGGGCGTCTGGCCAGACCATCTTTTAAAACCTCTTTTAAATTTTTATTTGCGGGGTGGGGGGGGGAGAGCAGTTGGGCCACACCCGTTGGTGCTCTGGGTTTCCTCCTGATGCTGCTCAGAGGGGGAATCACATGCGGTGTAGGAGATCTACCGACGACGACGTCCGCCTTGGTCCGCCTTGTCAGCCTTGGTCCGCCTTGTCCGCCTTGGTCCGCCTCATGCAAGGCCCCGAACGGTCTCTCTGACCCCTTTGACTGTTTTTCTGAACGCAACACTTAAATATGAAATGGTTTTAGTGTAGACTCATAATAAGTGCCTTTTCCCAGTGGTATTTTAACGGTGCCACAATTCTTTATGTTTTTAATGGTTTCATTTCTCCTTCCCTTCCTTCCTCCCTTCTTCCCTTCCTTTCTTTCTTTCCATTTTTTTAAAATTTGGACCACACCCGACCGTACTCAGGGTTTACTCCTGGCTCTGCTGAGGGATCACTCCTGGCAGCCTCTGGGGACCATATAGGATGTTAGGGATCGAATCCGCCTAGGCCTTGTGGAAGGAAAGCGGTTGCCCTACCTGCAGTACTATCGCTCTGGCCCTGTAATTGTTTTCTTTGAAATGGGTGCTACAGTTTTCTCTGGAAGCTCCATTTTTCAATGCAAATGTGTGTAAGAATCGTAGTACATAATAGAAAATTTCTAAAACATACAAAACCCTAGCGAAGAAAAGAGTATTCCCAGGCATCACTGTGGATCTGGGTGTGCACCTCTAGTTTTCTTCTACCTAGAGCTGTGGGCTTTCTTTGAAGTGAATTTTCATTAGTGATCTTATGCCCCCTGACTACACCACATGCCATTAGCTGGCTGTAGTAATTTAGTTGGTTATACCCAGTTTTCACTACTCCAAAGTATTGTCAGAGAAACACAGTCTGCATTCTTAGATGATGGGATGCACAGAAAGGGTTTTTGTTTTAAATAAGTGACTCAGTTCCCAAAATTCTCTTCATGTCCCTTCTCACATCTTAGCAGAAGATGTCAGATCTTTCTGTCGAACACTTTTGGAAGATTTGTGTTTTCCTCTACTTTTCACCTTTATTTTTTAATTTTTAAATTAAAAAAAAATTTGTATTAGTTGAAACACCATGAGGTACAGTTGTAGACTTACAAATTTTTGTGCTTGGGTTTCAGTTATACAATGATCGAACACCCATCCCTCCACCAGTGCCCATTCTTAGCTATCACATTTTCCCTCTTCTTTGTTGATTGCAGTTCATTTTCTGATTCTATGTTCTTCCTGGCTCAAAGGCAAACCTCAAGTTTTATTGCAGATGAAGCTTGATGTCTGGCATTCCTAACTGCAAGCACCATGTGACACCTGGAAGTTGCACGGCTTTGGCACCTGTTTGATTCCCACATCACTTCGTGCCTTCTTTGAATGCCTGCACCTCTCAGAGCCTGAATTTCAGTTTGTACCATTGTGTTTGATCTGACTCTGCCTCTTGCAACTCCACTTTCACTTGGTACACAAATGTAAATTCCCATGCCTGGGGACATCTATGCCTGGGGACATTTAAATTTGGTCTGAGGAGCCTTCAGAGAAGCTAGTTTGAAACCCTGCCTACTGCATGATGCCCCAGGCTTCAGTTTCTTCACCATGTTGCACCCCCTGTTTAAATTCCTACATCCCTTGGGTGCCTGGGTTCAGCCTGTGTCACCAAGTGATGACTAGTCTTCAGTGGGTGGTGGGGGCATGGTTCTGTCACACCTGACTGTGCACAGGGTTTACTCTGGGTTCTGAGTTAGGTATCACTTCTGGCGGGACTTGAGGAATCATATGGGGTGCCAGGGAGCCACCCTTGCCTGCAAGGCAGCACCTTACCTGCTGTACTATCTCTCCAATTTTTTTTCTTTTTTTGGGGGGGGGGGTCACATCCAGCGATGCTTATGGGTTACTCCTGGCTCTGCACTCAGGAATTACTCCTGGCGGTGCTCGGGGACCATATGGGACCATATGGGAATCGAACCCGGGTCGGCCACGTGCAAGCCAAATGCCCTACCCGCTGTGCTATCACTCCAGTCCCTCTCTCCAATTTTTAAAGTAAATTTTGTGCATTCACAGTGCTATTCAGGAGCTGCAGAGGTCATACCAGGGTTAAGGCGCATGTAAGATAAGCTGCTGACCCTGGTTAAATCCTGGCTTGGCATATGGTCCCTGAGCCCCGCCAGGAGTCATCCCTGGGCACAGAGCCAGGAGTAAGCCCTGAGTTCCGCCAGGTGCGGTCCCAACCACTCCTCCCCCCATAAGCTATTCCATGATTCCCTTTGCTCCCACTTCTGTTGTGAAGCAGAATCATTTCATTCAAGGATTATGGGAGAAAGTGAGGAAAAAGAAAGTGTTCAAGGGAAAACACAGGCCTCTCCAGAGTGAGGAGAGCTGAGTAAAGGACTTAGTCACATGCTTAGCATCATGGGTGCTGGAGACCTTCAAAATGGAATGCCCTGCTCCCACACTTTCTTTTTTTTTTTTTTACTTAATAAATTTTTTTTAAATTTTTTTTACAGTTGTAAATTTATAATTTTTTGTGCTTTGGTTTCAATTATACAATGATCAAATACCCATTCCTCCACCAGTGCCCATTTTCCACCACCATGGATAATATCCCTCCCACCCCCATCCCTCCATCCCCCCTGTCTCTGTGGCAGGGCAATCCCCTGTGTTCTCTCTCTCCTTACTCCCACACTTTCATTCATTTAATTTCAAGTTTCATAGTCCTTCCCCAGATTATACTCAGCATGGTCTCAGAAATTAGGTGAATGAGTGAATCTGGACAAATGGCTGAAGGAGCACATATTTAAAGGCACATACATAAAGCTGACAGGAGTCTGTAAAGCCAAATAATGGGAAGGGGGATGGCTCAACGGAATGGAACTTTGCATGTGGAAACCTGAGTCAGTCTCCCCCACCCCCCTCCCAGCACCTCTGGGAGTCACCCCTGAGCACTGTGCTGAGAGTAGCCACCACTAAAATAAAACTAAAGTCTCTGGAATCATTGTAGATCAAACATCGCCTTTGTGCCCAGTGTTCAGAATATCCAGGCAGCTAGAGGGCCCCAAAGCTGCTTTCCAGGGCTGGAGCAGTAGTACAGAGGGTAGGGCATTTGCCCTGCAGAGGGCCGACCCAGTTTTGGTCCCTGGCATTCCATATGGTTCCCTGAACACACCGGGAGTAATTCCTGGGAGCAGAGCCAGGAGGAACCCCTGAGCATTGCTGGATGTGACCCCAGCCCCTGCCAACTCCTCCCCCCCACCAAAAAAAAAGCTGTTTTCCGAAATGAGATGGCAATATTAGATGTGGAGCAAGATGTCAACTCTTTGTAGAATGCCAAGAACTGATTCTTCTGGCTACTCACTTGTGCACAGTTTTTTTTTTGGGGGGGGGGATAGGGGGTGGAGGTTGGTAGTTGTTGCATGGTGGGGTTGTGTTGCTGGTGGAATCTGAGAACGTGGACTCGGCTTTCATCTTGGGGTCGACCACCTCACCTTTCTGAGGCTTGGTTTCTTCACCTGTGAAATGAAGACAGTTCCAGTGTCCTCAAAGGCTTTTAGTGAGGATGAAATGTGACGGTGTTGGCAGCACTCTTCATGAAGAAGTACTGAGGCTTGGTAGCACTTCATGCTCACTGAAGACTGAACTTCTCTGGGAAAGAAAGTGGCTCTCCCCCTGCTTAGTACACCCTCTCTTAGCAGTCACTGGCACTTAGCGTTGTTTTCTAAATTAAATAAACGTCGAATACTGGTAGAAATTGACTATGTTATATTAAAAAAAAAATCTACCATCGTGCGTTGGATTCCTCCTGCAACCCTTTCCCTGTGGTGAGTTGTTATGTTCTCAATGTCCACTGGTTTATTTATTTTTTCATTTTAGAGGCCCACTCGCAGTGCTCAGCCAGGTGGTGTGAGGGCTCAAACCCAGGGTTCCTGCATACAGAGCCCTTTGAGCCAGTGCTCTGACGCTAGTAGGAGCAAAGGCCTTTCTGTTTCTTTTTTTTTTTTTTTGGTTAGGAAAGTTTACTTTTATTGGATTATGATCAGAGAGTATTACTTGAATATGTTTATTTTATGGAAATTGTTAGTGACTTCGTACATGATTTGAGGGGGTGAGTGTGAGTGACATAGAC